GGGGCCGGAGGGCTGCGCCGCGCCCGTCCTGCGCCCCACGCGCCGGCCGCCAGCCCTCTACGTACTTTTGCCCCCATTGTTCTTCAGGACGCTGGAGAGGCTGACGGAGGCCGTGCCCAGCAGCTCGTTCCTCAGCGTGTGGCAGCTCCAGACCTTCAGGTCCAAGTGACTCTGCGCCGTGACGTTCCTGGAAGACAAGCACCTGAGTCACCACGTCCCGCGCGGCCACCCCATGACCGGGGGCGGAGCTGGGCTGAGGCTGGGCTGAGCGCGCCCTCCCCGAGCCCGCCCCGCAGCCCCGCGAATAATGAGCTCTGTGAGCTCAGTCCGGCGGACGCCCGGCCTCGCCGCAGCCCGCCCGCACGTGCCGCTTCCGCTTACAAGATGATGATCTCGTTCCACAGCAGCTCCGAGCTCCCGATGCGCTTGCCCGTCTTCTTGGTCTCGCTCGGCAGCCCGTCCACCGCCACCTCCACGTAGGAGTTGATGCGGGGCTGCCGGCTGTGCACCTTGGGCTTCGCTGACACCACTGGGCCGGCGAGGAGGAAAAGCGGAAGATGAGTCAGGGCCTCCCAGGGGCCGCCCCGTGGCAGATGTTCTGGCTCTTTGGGGGTTTGTTTTTTGTTTGTTTGTGTTTTATCCAGATTCACAAAAAAAAAAAAAAACTCATTGTGGGCTACACAGTGAGTTCAAGACCAGCCTGAACTACGTAGTGAGGCTCTGTCTCAAAAAACAAAGAAAGAACTATCATTATGGGATAAGTATTGTTAATTATCAGGACCAGTTTATTGTTGGCAAATCCTCTAGACCTTTATGGTTGTTTGTTTTGTTTTGTTTCGTTTTGGTCTTTTTGAGACAGGGTCTCGCTATGTAACTCAGGCTGGCCTTGAGCTCACCTTGTAGCCCAAGCTGGTCTTGAACTCACAGTGATCCACCTGCCTCAGCCTCCCGAGTGCTGGGATTACAGGCGTGCACCACCACGCCCAGCTAGACCTTTATGTTTTATTTCCCTAATTCTTTAAAAATTATCCTCCCAATGTCTTTTTTTTTTTTTATACTGGAAATCGAACTCAGGACCTTACACTTGCCAAGCCAAAATGCTTTCTTTTTTGTTTATTTTTTTTTAATGCTAAGAATCAAGCCCAGGGTATCTCAAATGCTAGACAAGTCCTCTTCCCTGTACTAGCTCCACAAAATCAATTTTAAATGACTGTGATGTAGGCCTACTAAAAGGTAGTTTATTTTGGTCTTTTTGAGAGGGTCCACTATGCAGTTCAGGCTGGCCTTAAGCTCACTTTATAGCCCAGGCTAGCCTCGAACTAGCAACGATCCTCCTGCCTCAGCCTCCTGAGTGCTAGGATTACGGGTACTGGCCACCACCCCCGGCTTATAAGGTAGTTTAACTATTTTTCATTGTGGAAACGACTATTTGCAACTTTTTTGCTCTGGGAAAATTACCACAAACATATACATTTGCATGTGTTGCTCAGCAGTCCCCTAAAGGATAGGAAAAATGTTTTTAAGCTCTCAGAACTGTGCAACATCTTTCCTCGAGGAAGAAAACCACAGCGCTTCCCATCGGTGCTATAGGAATACTTCCATTCCTCCCAGCGTCAGGGTGCTGAGTTCTATGTTCTTTCACTCTCTGCAGATCATACGGATCTTCCAAGTGGTTTAAAGAATATAGCCAACGCTGGATGGGCTGTGTGACAGCACTAGCTAGGCGTGCATTCGCTGAGGGCTCACAGCAGGCTGCCTGCGCACCGGCTCGGGCCCACGGGCCTGCGCGCACCTCCTCCCCTGCTGTTCTTTACTAGCGGGGCTGAGCGCCTTCGCCCGGCCTGCCAGCCGTCCACATCCTCTTGTGTTCATAGGCCTCATGTGCGGCACTCCTCGCGTCCACCTGGCCAGCTAAGTGCCACGGCCGAGGACACCGGTCTTGCGCATGCATGACCCGGGCCGGGGGCGGCAGGGCCCCAGAAGGAAGCCCACCTAGATATCTTCCATCCTGTGTCCCAAGTCAGAGGGTGGAACTGATGCCCCTCACCTAAGACAGCAAGACTGCCCCACCCGAGCGCCCCTCCGTCGAGGGTTAGCAAATCTCCCAGACGCTTCTCTGAAAGGTGAGGGCGGGCCCACAAGTCAGCAAAGGTCAGCTCCCCTTCCAGGTGGTTTTTAGCAGTAACTCCTCCCCAGGGCCCAAAGGTATATAGTGAGAAAGAAGCTCAAAAAAAAAAACACGAAGATTCCGAAGCAACAGCACTGACACAGGAATATAGGTTTGCCACACGGAGACAGGACCCAGGGCAGAACGCTGCGCTGCAGAGACCGAGGTTGACTGACGCCACCTGGTGGTAAGAGCGCAGCTCTGCATGCCTTTAACTCAAAACAGGCACTCCATATGATTATCGCTCCGTGGCTTTGTGCTTGACGATCTTTAAAATCAACACGTTCAGGACGACCCGCTCGGACCCCTCTGTCTCTCTCAGACAGAAACTTCCGCCGATAAGTATATTCTGCCCTTAAACAAATAAATAAATATAAAAAATCAACAAGTTCAAACCCTTTATTTTAGCCAGGCATTGTGGCATACTCCAGGCTGAGGTAGGAAGATTGCTGTAAGTTCCAGGCCAGCCTGGTCTACACAGTGAGTTCAAGACCAACCTGAACTACATATACAGAGCAAGACCCTGTCTTGAAAAACAAAAAACAAAAAAAAAAAAAAAAATTTTTTTCACAATTGTGCCAAGATTTAGGGAGGTACAACTTATCCAGAATCATAGCTAGTCAGGGGTGGGCTGAGACTAGAACCAAGTCTCCCAGCTCCCAGGTAAACTCTTTAAACTCTCTCCACCATGTGTGACCCATCTATTTGTCTATTTATATATTTTCTTTCTCTTTCTTCCTTTCTTTTTTTCATCCTCCGGCTTTTCCCCATATTTTTAAGTTTTGAAAATATTTACATAATTTCAGACTTGTACAAAACATGCAAGAATAATACAAAAAAATTCCTCTACAGTAGCCATTACTGCATCATTCGATATTAATTTTGTATGATATTTGCTAGGCAAATGTTCTAACACAGAGCTACGCCTCTAGCCCAGAAAACAATCTTTTAGCAATCAAACTGCTAAAAATCTAACAACAGGAGCTAAAGTAGGACTCAGTAAGGTACAGGCCTTCAGTAAAGCCCTATGTTCCATCTCCAGCATGCAAAAATAAAAATAAAATAGTCTTACAATACCCTGACTTGATATAGGTAAGGAAACTGGCACCCACATACATGGCTATGAGAGTGTTCATTCCAGCCTGGGATTACAGGCCCACGCCTGTAATCCCAGCACTTAGGAGGCTGAGGCAGGAGGCTCACCACAAGTTCCGGGCCAATGTGGCTTACACAGTGAGTTCAAGGCCAGCCTGAACTACATAGCAAGTCCCTGACTCGAAAGAAAGAAAGAAACAAAGAAACAAAGAAAGGAAGAATGAAAGAATTTCTTCCAAGGAAGCAATCTGGCCTCAAAGTTACACAAGCTCTTCCCTTTTGGTATCATTAGAATTTCGATTTGAAATGTCCCCCAAAACTCACATGCTAAAGGGTAGCTACCAGCCGAGGGGCTCTGGGAGAAGAAATCGGACAATGAGGGCTCTAACTCCGTCACGTGGATTAATCCACTGATGAGATCAAGAGTGATGGCATTATTGGACAGTGAGTTAGTGCGCAGTGACAGAAACAGGAAGTGGAGCCTGGAGGGAGTCTCTAAAGGGAATGGATCATGGAGGTGTGACCTTGGGGACTAACTCCGGTCCCCACCGTCTCTGGAGCTCTCCTTTTTTGTCCACTTCCTGGCTGCCAAGAGCTACGCGGCTTTCCCCCGCCTGAGCCTCCATCACAACGTTCCTGCATCGCTACCGTGCCAACAGCAAAGGAGCCCGGGGACCATGGACTAACCCTGCAACCAAGAACCCAAATGAATCTCCCCTCCTCTGAATTGTTTTTTCTCAGGCATTTGGTCACAGCCACAAACAGCTGATTAAAACAAGTGTGTCTTGTAAGGGACACAAAAGAAACTGATGGTCCTGGTTTCCCCCAAGTAGGATACCGAAGGGCTGAAGGAAAAGCATGTCCACAAATGCAGTAAATAAATGAACAACATTTACACTTCTAAAATGCTCGTGTGGGCCGAGCGTGGTGGCGCACGCCTATAATCCCAGCACTTGCGAGGCTGAGGCAGGAGGATCGTTGCGAGTTCGAAGCCAGAATGGGCTACAAAGTGAGCTCAAGGGCAGCCTGAACTGCATAGTGAGACCCTGTCTCAAAAAGACAAAGAAACACCCATGCGGGCTGGGGGTGTGGCTCAGCAGTACAGCACTAGCCTAGCAAACGCGAGGCCGTGGGTTCAGTCCTCAACACCACAAAAAAAGAAAAATAAAAAGTACTGAGAAAAAACGTGGAGAGAGACAGCTTTGCCTCTGCATGAGCACACCGAGCCCGCAGCCTGAGGGCCACTCCCCACCCCAAGCATCTGCTCAGCCCTGTGACTCCTGCAGAGCTCCGACCGCCAAAGCAGCGTCTTCATTCCAGCAGGGTTTGCTCAGGACCCATCATGTACAGATGCTGACCAAAACAAGGCCGGGCTGGAAACCCTGGCACTCAGAAGGGCTGGGAAGGGGACTGATATGAGGAAGTCAAGAGGGACATGACTGCAGGTCAACAGACCAGATCAGAAAGGCCTCACAGAAGTGGGGAGCTTTTGGGTAAAAACCTAAGAAAGTAAAGACGCCAAGGGAAAGCCTTTCACTCAGAGGGGGTCCGCAAGTGCAAAGGCCCAGAGGCAGGCAGAGCCCTGCCTGCTGTGCGGGTGAAGTCGCGGGGCCTGTGGCTGGAGTAGAGAGGGGGCAACAGAAGCCGAGCAACAGGCTCGTTAGTTTCTGTTCTGAAGGAGACACAGAGCTGCTGGGGGTTTAACAGGGGAGCGACAAGATCTGCGTCACACTTTAACAAGCCGCTGTGTGACCAACAGCTTGAAGGAGACCAGAGGGCAGAAGCAAGGAGACAGCGCAGGAGCTGACAGCCTCAACCCGGAGGGACGCTGGCGGCTTGGTCGAGGCTGGGACAGCGGGGGCGGCAAGAAGTGCTCAGGACTGGATGGATGTGTGCTGAAGATGGAATCCGCCCAATGTGCTGATGGCTGAATACAGGATATGAGAAAGAAAAACCAGGCACTCAGCTCTGGCTGTAAATCTCAGATATTTACTAAACATGCAAGCCGTGGCGTCAGGCTGGCCACTGGACGTATGGATCTGTACTTTCAAGGAAAGACCCCGGCTGAAGACACCAAGCTGGGAGTGACCCTGCCGGCGGCCCTGGATGCCAAGAGGTTGGGAGAGGTCGTCAACAAGGTGAGCGTAGACAGAAAAGAGCCCTGGGATGGGAGGGAATCACCCTGTCAGATATTTTAGCCCAAAGCTCCTTTTTTCCTTTCTCCTTCAAGTACTTTCCTTCTTTCCTGAGAATTCCACCTACAACATGGCAATCCTCTGAGAATGAAAGGTTATGCTCATGAGCCGTTTCCAAAAGTGCGGTCCTGCAGACCAGGTGTGGAACAGGCTCCTGCCGCTTCCCTGTGGGTCAGGCTGGGCCCCCGGTGACATGCACTTGACACAGTGTCACTCACCTTTCAGGGTAAGCTGAGACTTCTCAAAAGGGAGGGCCACTCCTGGCCGGGTGGAGCTGGCAGATGCCATATCATCACCATGAAACTGCAAGATAAGCAGAGAAATGGGTTTAGACTGAGGAGAAGGTGAAAGATCAAGCTCAAAAACTGGGAATGGTGGCCTATGCCCTAAATCCAGTACACAGAAGGCTGAGGCAGGAGGATCTCCGTGAGTTTGAGGCCAGCCTGGACTACATAGTAAGACCCTATCTCAGAAAAAAAGGAAAAAAAAAGTACAGCTCAATATATATTCAAATTTAAAGAGACAGAGGCAAGAAAACATGAATGTCCAAATAACTGTCCATGCTACTTCCTGTAGCACGGCTAACCTCGGAAGGCCACAGAATGGCAAAGCCAGGAGGAAGAGTCTAATGGAACATCTCCACAATGAAAGTCACAGCTTCACAATAAAAACATGACGCGTGGGATTTTTTTTTTTTTAATGGGCAAATGATCCAAACAGACATCTGTCCAAAGAAGATCTCCGAATGGCTGAGAAGCGCACGGAGCGGGGCTCATCATCAGCCATAATGTCCTTGTCGCGCCGTCTTGGCTAGAAGCAGAAGTCTACCTGGCACTGCGAATGCATCTCTTACTCAGGATCGGGGGCCGTGATCATATGTCATTTGGCAAACACTGGTTCACACAGCTACCAGATATTCCAAGGCTGACACACCTCATTATCCGATAACCAAAAAACCACAGTTGTGCCTGCCGCCACTCAGGCGCCAGATAAGCCTCCGAGCCCCGGGGAGCCGTGGCGCTCTTGGTGGTGGAGACAAGTGTTCCAAAGTCCTCGTTTTTGATAGAGAACCTACTTTGTCACTGGCAACGAATACTGTCGGCTGTTTCCCTTGAAATGTCAGGCTCGCTTCATTCACGGGGAAGAAAATGTCTGCCGAATACCCAAATCTTGTAACTTAGTTTGTCTCCAGGATGCTTTCTGGAGTAAAAATGGTGATTTATGAAAAAGCCACAAGTTTAGTTCTCAATTCAAAGAGCCGCCCTTGTGCCGGCACACCTCCCTGCTGGTGCACCTCCCTCCGGAGGCGGGAGTGCTTTGGCTGCTCCCATTTCAGCCCAGAAGGCGAGAAAGACGCGCTCAGAGCCAGGCCTCAACCCGACCCACAGATTTCATCGAGGACTTCGTTTCTTTTAAGGCACCGCTATCCGTCTGTTATGGTTTGACGGATATTTTGCAAGGGAGAACAACATAATACAGGACACATATCTGCTAAGATTATTTATAATAGTCACCCAAAGAATGATATACAAAAGAGTGCAGGAAATCTGTCCACACACTAAGCCCAAGGGAACTAGCCAAGCGCCTGGATCCCACAGAAATGTCCTGCATGAATCCAGCTGAAGACCTACAGCTCATAACAGTGCCTCCCACAGGTCCAACTGGAGGCCTAGAGACCATAACAATATCTCACGTAGGCCTGTTTTCACGGATCTGCGCTGGGAAGGCCCAAAGGTCAGTGGTGGAATCTAGAAAGTCTGCCAGCAGGATGAAGGATCTGTGCCAGCAGGATGAAGGATCTGTGCTAGCAGGCTGAGGGATCTGCACCGGAGCCAGGAAGCAACGCTCAGAGTAAGAACCAGAGCTCCCCTAAAAAGTACCACAGCCATCCTCAGCAACAGTGAGGTCCTGAGCTCCTCCAATGATCAGGACAGCCGAGTTCGTTAGGGAAGCCAACACAGCAAGCTTCTCTACGAGACCGGCAGTGCACCATCTTCTCCTCCGGAACCAGGAAGCGATGCTCAGAGTGAGAACCAGAGCTCCCCAAAGTGAACCGAAGCTATTCTCAGTGCCAACAAGGTCCTGAGCTCCTCAGAGGATGAAAACAGCCGACTTCATCAGGAAAGCCAGCATGACAAGCTCCTCCAACAGAACCAACGGCTCCTTATAGCTTCCACCAGCTCCTAACAGCCTCTCTCAGCTCCCAACAGCCTCCTTCCCTTCTCCAGGTCTGCCTCTTATGCTGCTGGCAACAGTCCCCAGGTGGGCCTCCCACACCCAGCACCACGCTTACTCAGTTCAGCTGGGGGTTACAAGTTGCCCACCAGCTGTCAATCCACTACAACGCTTAATCACCTTGAAACTTATTTGTATGTTTTTATTTTTACGGGTACAGGTTCGCAGTACAGGACGAGCACGCTCCTCGTGGGGAGCCGGGACAGGTGCAGAACACAGCTCAGGTCCCCTCCCTCTCTCCTCCTTCCAGCTCATGGTCGCCTTCCCTTTTGCAAACATCTCCGTTTCCTAGTAGCTGTCCTTTATTTTGCTCTTCACATCAAGGACGCTCTTGAGTGAAGCTGGCTTTTCTCTTTTTGCTGAGAGCACGTCACAGGGAAAAGAATCATGCAACAGTGCACCCGGCATCATGCTACGGCACCGACACTTTTACTCACCTTTGCTTTTACACTATTAGTGCAAATATGATCACAGGGAAAAGGCAAGGAAGCGCCTAGAGATATTACGATGAAAATACCTGTGACCTCGCCAAAGCCCAAGAGACTCTCAAAGGCTGCCCTCGATCTGAGGACCACACTTGAAAACTGCTGCTATAAAAACGGTAAAATGCCTGTTCTATTCAGCAGCCTTAATAGCTTCTTTCAGTCTGTTTGTTTCTCATCTCTCCTCCAGGGGCTGGGGGTACAGCTCAGTGGCACAAGCACTTGCCTGACAAACACAAGGTCTTGAGTTCAATTCCCAGTACCAAAAAAAAAAAGCATCTCATCGCTCCTCCTGACTTCCCATGTGTCTTAGTTACTTTTCTCTCCTTGCTGGGACAAAATACCAGACACCCAAAATTAAGGAAGGAAAGGTTTATTTAGCTCACAGTTTGTGGAGGTGTCAGTCCTTCATCAGCTGGCTCCAAGGCAGGGTGGCATGGCATAGGTGCAACAGTTCAAGACAGCAAGCGCAGCAAGGGCAAAAAAAAAAAAAAACGGAGAGGAGCCTCTTTTCCTCCCTTATATTGTAAGCGGGCTACCCGCCCCGGGGTGGGTATCGCACTCACACCATCTCCCTGCCCTCCTCTTGCACAGGATGAGGGTATCTACAAAGTGAGGACCCTGGTTCCCTGTCAGCTTAGTTAAACTTCTGAACTTCTCAAGCTGACACAATGAATCAACCATTACACTATGTTAAAGAGTTTTTCAGCGCTAAAAAGTGGTTATTAACTCACTATATTATTCCAAGAATGGAAACCTTTACATGAGAATTAAATGTCATTACAGCTAAGTGACAGTGATTCTGACACTTTCTATAGTTCAAGTCAAAAACTTTATGCTTCAAGATTTTTAGCAAAACAAAACAAAGCCCGGGGACATAGCTCAGTGGTAGAGTACTTATCTAACCCGTGCGGGGCCATAGCTTTGCTCCTCAGCTGCCTCCCTCAAAAAAAAACCCTTATTTCAGTCAAGCATGGTGGTGCACGCCTGTAATCCCAGAACTCGGGAGGTTGAAGCAGGAGGATCACTGTGAGTTGAGACCAGCCTGAACTGCATAGTAAGATCCTGTCTCAAAAAGACCAAAACAAAACAAAACAAAAATCAGCCTCAAGCGTCTGGCCCTCAGATCCACTGGTCGAGGTCAAAACGGAGCTCCTGATCCCCTGCTCAAACCTGGTCCTTTGTCACCGGCATCTGGGTTCACGACAACCCCTTCCATCCAGTGGCTCAGCCAAAGCGCGGGGCTCGCGCACTTCCCTTCCCCCCACAGACCGCAGCGGATCTGCCAACACCTCCTCTCACCGCCACAGGTAAAATAAGCCCAAGTTCCACCACCCCTCGGGCCCAGCTTGGTCCAAGCACCACTTTCCCTCACCTGATTGTCTTCTGCCCTTCCCCTTCCGTCTCAGCTCCAAATTCAGCCACCAGAGTACTTTTTGTTTCTTTGGTGCTGGACATCGGGGTAGTTTAACTACAGAAGTGGGACCGCGTCACTGTGATAAGTCAGAGCCAGCCAGGGGCTTCCTGTCTAACTCAGAAGAAAATCCAAAGTCGTTAAAGTAATATTTGAGGCCTCTGTGCTACGTTCCCGAGACACCTCTCTGCCGCTCTGCTCCCTCTGGCCCTGATGTCCCCTGAGCACAGACAGCCCCCACGGGTCCCTGGCTCTGCGCCACGGGGCAGCACTTGCGCCAGTGCTTCCCTACGGGGCCTCCCACCCAGACCCCTGTCCACCCCACCTCGCCCACCCACCTCTTCCATGTCACTTTTCTCCTTTAGCATTTGCCACTGGTCGAGCCATCCTGTAGTTACTTATTATATCTCCTGTTCACCTCCCTGCCCGGGAATCTAAGCTCCTTGAGGGCTCATATGTTTGAGGCATCTGTTAGCCTTGTTGCCCTCATGTTTGGAATAGGACCTGGCTCTTAGTAGGAACTCCGTAATATTTGTGGAAGGAAAGAACTGGAACATCAGTTTTCTTAAGTTTAAAGATGTTTTAGAAGGGCTGGGGATGTAGCTCAGGGGCATAAGTGCCTGCCTGGCAAGCACAAGGTCATGAGTTTGATCCCCGGTACCGCAAAACAACAACAACAACAACAACAAAAAAAACCCAAACAAATAAAGATGTTTTAGAGCCAGGCATGGCTGTGCACACCTGTAACCCCAGTACTCAGGAGGCTGAGGCAGGAGGATCACTGCCAGTTCAAGGCCAGCCTGGGCTACATAGTGAGTTCACGGCCAGCCTGCACTACATAGTGAGACCCTGTCTCAAAAAAAAAAGAGAAAAAGAAAGCAAAGAAAGAAGTACATCACAATTTAAGATGAGCATTTAGGTTATTTACAGTTTTTTGCAATTCTAAAGTCGTTGTGATGAACACCTTCAACAGTTCTTCTGCAAGGTATTAGGAGATACCTCTCCCCAAATGCCTAGGGGTCCCTGCGTGTATTTTTTTTTTTTTTTTTTTTTATGGTGATACTAGAGATTGAACCCAGGACCTTTACACTGAGTATATCTCCAGCCCTTTTATTATTATTATTATTATTATCATCTTAAAACAAGGTTTCAGTTGTTAAATTGCCTAGGGT